TTATACATTTGACCGTAAAATAATAGTCAATATAAGAATTATTATTTATCGTTAATATTTCCTACAACACACAACTATACTATTATTTGTGCGTACGAATACACAACCAATTTACACAAACATGTATTCGTATAAGTACAGTCGTATAGACACGTATGTGCGTGAAGCAGCAATAGGCACGAGGAAACAAAAGGGAGAGAGAGAGCCGGAGAAAGATGAATTGGATTATAATACAATTTTTTTCTATCTTTATATAAAAAATCGGACGTTAAGTTCATCTGATAATTTAAACCAAAATCACGAGTACGAATAGTAATAATAATGGAGAGGAAAAAATAATAATGACATTGGTATTGAATTTTGTCTCGTATTGATAGTGGTTTATATAAGCTTGACGTTGGTAGTATTTGTATTTTTCGCTGTTTCGAAACGTTTCTTCCGGTGAGCTTTTATGCCATTGCTTCAATTAAACAACTATTCTATTCATCAAGTCCTATTTGTCACGCAAACGAGGTTTATTTTACGATCCTTGTGGTTATTAATTTTGTTAACAGTATTCGTCCATGAAACTCGGCTAGAAAATGGTTTAAATTTCTATTTTACCATTTCCAGACTAATTTAATTTATTTTAATGTAGCACAGTTGAACGGTTTTAGAAAAAGTGTGAACAAGTGAACAAGTGTGGTCCATTACACTCAGTTATGTGCTGCATTAACTGACAGTGTCGATCGAGTCGAAATAATAATAAAAAAAAAATAAAACTACTATGCACTACGATATTAATAAATAAAATCACAATGTAAACTAACTCTAGATATAAGTACAGAATTTTATATTGAACTTTTAATAAAATCCAGAGTATAATTAAAAAAACAAAAAAAATCAATAATTGTTATATACGTTCACTATATATTCACTCAATGAAGAACAAATATCTTAAATTATGTATTTATATATCCTGGTCACTATTGTTAATAAATAAAAAAATAAATTACAATATTTATTATAATAACATTATTTTGATTAGAAAAGTACTCGTATTATAAAAAAATTGGTACCTATACACTTAAAGTAATAACATACATTTTTTATCCTGAGTTTATAGATTTTCATAAATAAATAATCCTGCATGTTAACGAACATAAAATACTTAATAATATAATAAAAATAAAAATAATTAAATGGTTAATACTCGTAAATTAATATAGAAATACATAAATAAATATTTTATATATATATATATATATATATATATAAATAAAAGCTTAGCCTGAAGTATTATTATTTTTAAAGTACGACCATTTTCGAATTAAAAATCTAACATCAGGTGTATACAAATTAATAAAATTGTGACTGAATATGAAAAAATAAAATCGAAACTAAATAAACTAAATAAGAAGTAATAAAGGAAGGAATAAATTGAGAAAAATTATTTGTTATATATAGAGATAATTTATTATAATAGGAAAGATTATTTAAACTAATTTCTTATTAGATATTGATATGTTAATAAAAATAAGAACTTTGGTTAGAATTATTTTTTTTTTTTTAAATGTATCGATAAAAGATATTATTTTTAAAATAGGTTGTTCATTTAAAATATTATTAAAATTATATTTCTTGCTTTTCATTGTGTAATTCTTCTAAAACTGAATTAAAGTAAATGTTATTTTGGGTATTTAATATTTCTAAGTCTACATTGATATCAAAATGTAAATTATGATTATTTTTCAAAACATGTCTAGTAGAATTTAAATTAGAGGCAGTCTTTTTTTAATTTCAGAACTCTGTTATTTATATCTTATTTTAAAATGTCTATTTGTCTTACCTATATTAAATGTATTACAATTACATTTAAGTTGATATATACCAGTATTTTCAATAAAAAAGGGATTTTTTTTGTGAAGTTTTTAGCTCTATTATAAATATAATGATACTATAGCTAAGTTTTTATTAATTTATTTATTTCTATATATAAAATATATGTTTATTTGTTCATATATTAAATTACTTGTTGATATACTGCAGATACTATAGTATTATAGGTTACGTAGGTATAGTATATTTTTGTTGTATATTTTAACATGCATTTAGATGTGAAATAAATTGAAAATATTTATGAAAAAATCTAGACTTATCCAACAATTTTTATTTCAAATAGTATAAGTTCATGAAATGATATTTCCGTCAAATTCTTCGCTGTCATAGGAATTTATCGCTAGTTGAATCTTCAATAATATTGTTACCGCTACACGTACTCATTTGCTTAAATATTGGATTAAAAATAATAAAAAATATAAGTATTTTAAGTTGATTTTATCACTAAGATTATTAATTATAAGATATAAAACTATGTAAAGTCAGTCGATGATTGTTAGGGCAGTAATGCATAAGGCTGCTGAAATATTGAGCAGTTATTCGACGTGCGACGGTTGTGGAGAGAAACCCGGACCCGGGGGGTATATTTTAATTTTTTCTGTAGTGTTTATTAAATTCTTATCAATAATTGTGTTTAATTTTTAATAATGTGTAGTCCCTAATTTCCGGGTCCTCACAAAAATTTCGGGCCGAGGGGGTCATCCCTTTCCCCTCTGCTTATCAGGCCTGGTCGCAGCAATCCAGCCGAAGCGGACGCAGAAGAGGCTGTATGTCTTTTGTCTCGTAAGAAACGCAGAACAAAAAATAAATAAATATTGAATTCATCCTCTGTTTTCGGAGCGGCACTCAAAGGGCTCGATTCAAAATCATCTTAAACATCCTCGAAGATTTCCGAAACTTTTTTCTTAAATAATACAACAATGGCTGTGTAATCATTGTTCGATAAATAATGTGATGGCCGTACGGAGGAAGACGTGCAAAATGCAAAATATGTCTGGCGGCTTCGGCTAATGCGCGGAGACTTGCGGCAGCCACATGCATCCTCGTTGTTTTCCCTCAGCACATTGGAGGCCGCGTACTTGGCAGCTAATGAGTCCGGGCTTTGGCAGCGAACGTGCTTGGTTAGGTCCAACTGGTGTGCGACTGCTATGAGTCTCCACGCACTAGTCGAAGTAAGACGTATTTTGCGTGTTTCCCATCGCCCAGGTATTTCTCGAAGTAAACATTATCATGACGAAGTTCGATACGGAAATGTTGATTTGGTCGAAAGTCGAAAGGCAATTCGGGACGTATTTTTTGAAGAATACAGTGATTGTGATTTAAAGAAAAGGGGATGGGAGTAAACAAGCACTTCAAGTGCCGTTCCAAAAACAAGGGATGTATCCATTATTTTTTTTTGTTCTGCGTTTCTTACGAGACAAAAGATAAACAGTGACACCCTATTCTACGTCCATTTCGTTCGATTGTACGCATTCAATAGATTGCTACGATGGACGTCCGATGACTCGACGACTGTCGTGCGTCAGCCGACTGCTCAATATTTCGGCTGCAATGTGTGTTACTGTCCTAAGTGTACATATTTTATAATTTGAAAACAAGATTGATATATTATTGTATCATAACTAACTCATAATAATGACGATAAATGTGCCAAGTAATTAATGTGAAAAACGATAATCGACAAATGATCACAAAAATATGAAATGCGGTAGTTTGAAGGCAGAAGTAGCTGTTCGTTTAAGTGGACGATTTATCGTGAAAACAATTAAAATAATAAAAACACTATCAGTGGATCTCGAACAGTAAAATTGTTAACATTTCTATCACGAGAGTTTTTTTGCACTCATTATATGTTTTGGTGGTGCATATATTATATATTAAAATATGTATTTTACGAGGATTTAATAATTATTGCAAAACCTTCGATGACGACTATTAAAGATAGTATTCTAGTTTTGTTTTGTACTTTACAAATATATTTCATTAGTTTATAAATTATAATTTTGATGGTTTTGTTTACGAATAAAAAATTATTTGTAAAAAAAAAAAAAATGTATAATTTAGGAGTAAGTAAATCCCTGTGGAACGCGATGTATAATAAACACGTATAAATACAACGAAATCATTATACGTGCAAAATATTACACCCCATTACTTTACTAAAAGGACGAGTGTATCTGGAATTATATTATTTATAGTATAGTATTCAAACATTACCGTCGCACTAGACTCGAGTGTAAAATATACAATAGTATTTTCACATAATTGAATTATGTACAAATCCAATTTAAGACTTTATTAATTATCTTCAGCCGGCGGAGGTTAATGAAGCCGCGGTCGGGTTAATATTGGCTACAACAGCTATGTAACTTTGGTGCTATCTATATGGTAATATGTGTTATTATGTTTCGAAACGCGGCGAAAGAAAAACTGGTAACTCTGAACAATCTGTTTTACATCAACAATATTCATTATAGTGAGGTGAGATGCTATACATTTTTAATGTTCAAGTATTTATTGGGAGAAAAATCTGAAGTTGCTTGCTTATGATCCAATTTAAATACCGTTCAGATTTACGATAAAAAAATAAACTGACGTTTGAAAAGGTAATTTTCCATAAGATTGAAACAAATTATTTTTCACAATATTCGAACGACTGCAGCATCCGAACACGTAAACAGATTGTTTATGAAATTTAAATTGCTCGAGATTGATTATGATTTTTATCAAATCGTACGCGGAAGTTAACTCAATATAACACAACCGAATATAATATTTACTCGGAATAACGAAAAGCATTTTTTTGAGAAAAAAATATGAAAAGTCACTCTTTGATATTTCAAATCGAAAACTCATTATGCTATATTCATTTAAATATAAATATATACAACCTATATATATATATATAAATCACGAAAAATACTTATTTTTATCGTAAAATTTAATCAGTTGGTTCAAATATTTATTCATTTAATTTAGATTAAAATCGAATATTGTAAATCAAATTCAAACCAAACACGATATGACCTTGTAAATTATGTTTAAGATTAGCCAGTCCTGGGAAAATCCTTTCGATAAGAATTCATATAATATTAATCTAGGTTTTTTTTTTTGAAACTTACTTGTTCGCTTACAAACTCAAAGATGTTCAAATAAGTTTCTTACCTGAAAAAAAAAAGAAAAGAATATTAATAAAAAGATACAATAACGAAGTGTTACGTTTTTGTTTAATATTTTTTTATTCCTGATCGATTTGGAGTAAGCGATATACACGTGTGTTCCAATGATTTGACACGAAATCAATCAGCTACTTAAAAATTACCTAGGATCTAACATACTTACTAATTTCTTGTAAAAATAATAAAAACTTTCTCCGTTTATATGTCTCGGCAAAATTGCGATTCGGCCATCGTGGATTACGATTATTCGTTTGCACTGTGCAAACCCGATCGGTATTTTGCGGCTGCGGATCGAGTGGTTAACGTACTTTAATACCACGGCTATAAGTTTGGACGTGAAGGCAATTGAACCAAAGTGAACATTGAAACGATGGAGCAGAGAAAATAATATAATATGTGAATACGACCGGATTCGCGGTACACAGGCGTCGTGACGGCCGTATTATCGTCTCAGGGCTAGTCGTGTAATAAAACGGTAACCCGTTGCGATGAGATACTGCAATGCGAAGCCATGATGAGAAACGGGCTCCGGAAATTTACATTTGAGACGGAGACGTCTAAGATGCGACAGTAACGATACCGTACAGTGGCAATAAGAAAATATCTTAATAACGCGCGCCGTCGATTTTGTCACATTGAACATTACATTCTTGCGAGCACACATCATAATGTACTTAAAAAAGTATATATTTTTTGAGCTGCGCGTTCAATACTCTCGATAGCAACCAAAGCATTAGCACTATAAAAATTTAAATTTTCTTCTCAGTCAAGACATCACCGACTGGAAGCGGTGTTAACGTTTCCAAGATTTCTATAGACACGCTATGGCGGGCATAAAAATAGATGGCGTTTTAACAATGTGTATACCCCATTTGTTTTGTACATTTCGCATTAAATAAATTTGTATTTGAAAACCGTGAAATTCAAACCGAGTACATTTTTAATATGCATGCGGGGTTTGATAAGAAAAGTATAAGTAAAAACGTTATTTCATAGAAAAACTGGTAGGGTCCGTTAAAAACACAACCCCTTTCTCTCTTCGACGCGTCCGATGAAAAATACTTTAGTCGAATAGACAGTTTAAGATGTTATAAACGATAATATATACTCGTATGAAGTGTTTGTATCGTATACATCACTGAAGGAGTCGTATACACGTATCCTACTCACACGATATATAATTGAAAGGCTGAACACACATATACACACGTATATATATATATATATATATATATATATTATAGCGTAACATATTATATAGTAATATAGTATATTATATATAGTTTTCCTATATATGTAATATATATATATATATATATGTGTGTGTGTACGTGGTGGTAAACCGACGGTTTGGTGGTGATGGTTTTACACTTCCGGAATAGGTGTTCTGTCGTTTCCGGTTTCGAATTTCTAAGGGAACGGTGTGAAGATATAGGGTCAAGATGAATTGTGATGGACAAGTGCACGTGTGTACGCGCGCGTTTACACAATGTCGAAGGGAGTATGGGATCGGACGAGGTTGACAGCAGTCAGGGGGAGTCTTACCGCGCGCGCGTTACAATATACGAATGACGACTGCGTGTGGCGCCTATGGCCGCACACCCGAACGTTGTGACACGGTACACTTTGTAAACATCGAGTGCGTGCACGTGGTGTGTATACTTTTGGCCAAAAAGGCTAAAAGCCATATTAATTAAAGCCGTTGAATGGAGTTCGTTTGTATTATTATTATTTTTTTTCCTCGTTCGACTACGGTTGAAAACTCCGTTTGTGTTTGAAACAGACGTTTTGTTAAATAATCACCGTGCAATTATATGCATCCTCGTAGCGTGTGCACACTGTGTTCCGCACACATAATTATGATATTATTTACAGTGTGCGCGTCATCTAGGGTGTGCAAAACGCGAGTTCGATTGATATTTGCTTGTTGTGCGTAATTATTGCCGTGACAGGTATACACAAAGCGGGGGAGGTTTCCCGGAAATCAGTAGGTCCGTTTCAGTCTGAAACGTTTCCGCAACGGTGAACACACCACGGTGACGTGGTGATAAAAAAAAAAAAAAATTAAAAAGAATTGGAAGCAAATAAATAAATAAAACGCATGAGCTCTCGGTGAAAAAAATGCCTTTGCCGTCCTATGGAAGTAATAGTTATTTGGAGCACGAGAACATCTGAAATTCGTGAGTTTACTGATTTATTTGATTCGTGACGAGTTGACGGAGAGAAATTACTTTCCGTGAATTTCTCTTATAAATAGGTGTAGCTGTTCACGGTTTTCTACAGCGATTAAGTTCCCGAAGCGCCTAATTCAATTTAATGACATATTAAGAAAATGTTCGCTTGTATCGTTTGCACATATAGTTTCTTCCGAATAGAATTATTTATTGTTTTCTCGGTGTAAACTCCGTCGGGTCAGAGTTCAACGCTAATACATCTGTTCGTATTTTTCTCCATATATCAATACATCGTAGGTTCGTTTTAATTATTACATGGATATTTCCGTTGACTTATGTGGTGTTAAGTAAAAGTATTATCGTACGGGGGTACTTGATTCGCCAAAATTATTACATGTGTCGTATTGTAAGTTACATGACGGATTACACTTTGTAACTCATCTTATCAGACTTAAGCGTACATAAACTTCATGTGTCGGTGATCTGCAAGTGAATCTGTGTCGTTTTAATGAAAATCGCCGATTTAAATGGAAATAAATTTTATCCTAAAAATGTATATTTTTTTTATTATTTATTTATATAATATTAACTAATGCCATGTTAATTAAAAATTCATGTCAACGTTATATATTCTATTTTTAATTACGTATTTACAACAATTATAAACATTAAATATATATATATATAACTTTGGTTTGTTTTAAAAATTAAATATATTGCAGCTATGAATTAGGTTTGTGGTTTCTTATGAAGTTCCTGTTTTAGAGTTCATCGGGTATAAAAGCTTTCGGATAAGTACTGTTTTACCAACAAAGCAATCCTCTCATCAATATTAACGAGGTTTAGACATATTTAATTATCTTAGGATTTAATATTTATTGGAAAGGATTAAATGAAACATCAATCGATGGTAATGTAAACTATTTCTGCGATCCATTATAGTGTTTACAGTTGAATATTAATTTATCCGAATAATAAAATGATATAAAAAAATATAGACACAAGAGACAAGCAAAAGAAATGTCGAAAAATACATATATATATTTTTATAAAAACTTAATTGAACACCAACAGGTTTTTTTTTTAATCTTAAAAATAAGTTAATAACATTTTCTGTACACGTTTTTTGATAAAGTACTTTTACTAAACGAATTATTTTATACACCGATTGATGTAGAATATAACATTCGAATGTGACTGATAAATGAAAAACATTTCACTTTTAGTTATAATAATTAAAGTAAAATTTCAGCGATCCATAAAATAAAATTTTCAATGCAATTATGAAACTATGAAAATTTGCTATTTGTTAAAATAATAAACATTATGATAAAATTAAATAAATTTATAATGAATGAAGTACGTATTAACTATATGGTCATGTTCGTGAAGCGTGCGCAATTGGAAGACAAGTTAAAAATTTAAAAAAAATGTCGTGATCAACGTGTAGCTATAATATATTATACGTCCAAAAAATTGTATATTAAACACTTATGCATGTGTGCATATATTGGTTACGATTAAAATAAACGACACTTAGTTTACTACACCGCTTTTTAGACCCTTTCATTATTGGCGGCCAATTTTCTGAAAAGGATTTTACTGTTTTTATCTGTAATTTGCGAACGGTTTTTATTCGTTGGAATTAAGTACATATACCCCTTGACCAATCCCCTCGAAATCATAACATATTCGGCATCGCACTATAATCCGCATATAGTTTCTCTTCCGGGATCTAGTTCTCGGTCCATTTAAAGCATATTTACTTTGTATATATGTGTATATGCATTGTATAGTAATATCTATGTATGTATAGGTATATATGTGTATAACAACGTCGAGCCATAAAAAAAGGACTTTTGAAATACTATAAATTTAGACTTATTTTTTGCTCTATTATCTCATTCCTTCATGATTTCCAGTACCATAAATTATTGAATAAGGAAGAGCTGTTACTCTAGTTCGCGTATATTATATTGAGATTCGGACGTTCCATGCTCACATAATATTATTATCATCGCAACGTTTTGAGACAATGGAAATTACTGCGATGACAATAACATCACCGTGTCTGCGTGCGACGCACGATATCGAGCCTGGGCTATGGCTATAAACGAGACGTACTGACATATTATGGTTGCGTAAATGCGTTTTACTACTACAGTTATTGTATTATAATGCCGATGGGCAGAACCGATTATTACAATCGTATACATTGGCTCGAATATACTCGTAAAAGTCGTTCAAACTACGAATGTACCGTAATTTTTTATTAATAATATCATTGTGATATTGCATTACGTGATAGACGTGCGCATATCTATATTTCAGGGAGTGCCTACAACAATTGTGGGGCCCACAATGATAGGGCCTATCATAACAAAACCTATTGGAATATCTTATTAATTATAATGTATAGCTTAAATTTTTTATTTAATATTACATTTTTTATATTAGTCCCAGTGAATATATTTTCTCTCTATATTTTATATTTTTCTCAGATAGTTTCAATTATTTACGATTTGTACTGTTGCAGTCAATCGTAGCTGTTAAATTATCTCATTAGAAAATTTTGCACGAACATTTTATCTTTTTTTTTTTACGAAATATAATATTTTTTTCACCAAATATTTTATGGTAATAAATTTAATTTAATCAGAGTAACATGAGTTAAAATATGGGTTTCTTACTCCTAAACTTCAATTGTAGTGCCTCATTTACAAAATTTCGGAGATTTCCCGGTCACAAACAACTCCTCTTCCCTTTTTCCGAGTGCACACCTCTGACGATAGGTTTATACTCATGTATACGCCGCATGTATAGTAAAATAATTTATAATTAATCCGCTATGATGAGAATTAGATTTATTTACAAGCGGTTGAATTTACCATAAATGCATGTATACCACATAGAATGTTTACGGTATGGAAACTCATATTATTTATTACCACCATTTCTCGAATCGAAACATCTGGAGTAGTAGTAGACTTTGAATATTTCCCCATTAAATCATCGCGTTCCCTCTTCGCGCGTAGATATATATTTTACTCGCGCAGACGCTACAATGATCATGCCTGCAGTTTATTGTCGAAGACGTGTACTGTTATTTGTTTAATAATTTTTATTATTAGAATCTACCAGGACGAATAAAAAAATTAGCAAAACGACGGGTTGGTAATAATGTTAAGAAATAATACTAGATGATCTTTTATCGTGACCCACATTTGACGTTATAATTGTGACCATAATGTTAGCATGATATTATTATAATATCTAAAATATTGTGACGGTCAGCGGTGAGTTTTGGGAATAGAGTAACAGTCCTGGTCGAGAAATGTTATGGAAAAATGTTAGCAAAATTGTTATTATACGTTTGAAAATGTACATGAAGATATTGAAATGCAATGTAACTATTGAATAACACACGACGACCTGGTCACATGGTATGAGACGGGGAAACTATAATTGATATTCGCATACTGCGGTAAAAAAAAATCATTTATTTAAAAATAATACGAGTAGATAAATATAATGACCATACAATAACATATTTTGTACATTTTTAAACGCAGAGAAAATGTTAAACGATCACACAGTAAATAATAAATGCGGTAAAATACTGTACTTAAATGCAAATGTAAGTATATAAATATGAATAAAATCAATTCATGATGAATTATTTCATTTTCAAAACAATAATTTAGAGTCAGCCAATCGGTACAAAAATAACCATAAAGTAATAAAATATAGTTTGTTTTAAGTATTGATTTAATTGACTCCATGTCAATCAATTCCAAGTCTATCAATATTTATCGTTTTGAATATTTTTTACGAATATTTTGTATCTTGTATATTCATAATTAAAATATCAAAAAAATTTTTTTTTCTATTACTTTTATATGAGGGTTAAGATTAAAATATAATGGTTTTAAGTTGAAACTATTTAAGTTCATGTCAAAATAGTTATAGCATTAATGTATAATCAGATCAACAGAAAATAAATGTATTTTTTTTTTTTTATAAAAATTATTACATGTTTATTTTATAAATCTGTGTGGCTAAGATAAATTTAAAAGTTATAATTAAGTTTTCATAATATATTTTTAACTGAAATATATTTGGTATAAATGAGGAAAATACGGTATTATATAGTTTAATTTTTGTTTTCTAAGATTTTTTTTTTTTTAGGTGGTCGAAATGTGTAGAAAGCAATGGTCAATACTTCGAATAAATTTTTTTTACCTTCCCATTAAAAATTAGTGTTTCATTTTCACAAGAAAATAATACCGGTACACCTGGTATTTACTTATTTGATTGTCTGCAAATAGCAAAATAACTGCAAACAGCATTATCAATATTTACCACCTACAAAATATCATACAACTTTATCATGACATATTCGTTTCAGTTAAACGAATGGAAAACATTTTAACAATGAAGTACTTATGAGAAAGAACAAATGTTAAGAAATATTAAATCCAACTACTAATAAAAAAGGAAAAAAAAAAGAAATATTTAAGTGCTCTCCAAATAAAGCCTGTTGGTGATTGATAATAAAATAGGAGGAGGGGAGAGTTTCTAGAGAGGAATTAACGGAAGAAAAATATTTCATCGAAACATTACCGTGGCCTCGAAAAAGTGGCATTGTTATAATCATTGATTTCGTAACACAATTATTATTGCAATAAAATTACAATTTTAGACACTTAAAAATAAACCGAAAACATCAAACAATTCTATTCGCTTTGCAAACAGCGGAAACAAATTACTTTTGGTCGACACGACGTTCGGACGAAAAGCGATGTAGAGACGAACAGACATTTCGTAGCAAACGCTGTTATTATTATTTTCCGAAAGCGAATACGTGCGTATCGTCGAGTCGTGTATATTATATTATGTAAACGTGTGTTCCTTTACGTGGAACGCGTGTGTTTTTAAGCGACGAGACGAATTCGTGGTTGCTTTGCACACCGACAGTCGTCATTTCAAATGATCGAGACGGATTTATGAATGCATCTTCTCGGAAAGTCGTCATTACCTGTTCACGGTTCGGGCCTGATGAGACGATTTCGGTACACAGCTGTACCTACCCTTAAGCCTGAAGGAACCGCACATGCGCCTTCCGCTTGATCAGCAGCGATGAAAAACCGTATGAGAACGTGTTGGTGATAGGAATAATCGAATGATTAGTAGTCGACAACAAAATAATCGAATAATCGAATGATTCATGATTTAACTAATTTAACTGGTTGTATAAATAATCAAATGATTATCTATAGTGTGAAAGTAAATTTCATTTTCAATCCAATTATTTATACATATTAAACCGATTAGTTTGGTGATGATCGATACCGGGAATAAAACCAATGATTAAAAATAAAATATATAATATTACAGTACTACAGTACTACTATGATACAATAATACAATTAATTTGCTTTTGATAAATATGTTTGGTACTGTTACTTCGATTATCAAAATCATTTGATTATTTTGATAATCAAAAAATAATAATCGAATGATTCGATTATTCCATACTATTATTCCCATCACTAGTACGTGCGATGGTAACACGGCGAATTTTGATGGAAACTCGCATATGCGATACGTAAATCGTGTATCATGTAGGGCGCGACACAGTGGAAACGTTACGTCTAGTCGTACTTTTACGTACCTGATATATTTTTTATACATGGACGGATATGACTGGAGTGTGGGTACATTGGTATTTACATTTTCTTACAATTTATGAGGGGTAGGAAAGGGGGGGGTGAACTTTTAAAAACTATCGCCTGCATAAGCGCCCGCACGATTTATGAACAAATGAGTAAAATCCGTATAGTTTTAAATGTCAGTCAACCAGGGGTTGTTAGGTAGTGTGGAAAAAAACTTAACTGTACATGGTTTATCCGATCAACGTAAATAAAATAAAAAATAACGAGTATGGTTTATAACTAAAATAAAAAAAAGAGTTGATAACTTCACGTAAAGATTTTACGCGTATATTTTTTATTCCATCCTGTGTACATGGTTTGATTATAACTAGGGTATAAATAAAGCGAAAGGTCCTATTACAAATGCATTAAACATTTTAATGGTGTATGCATATATTAAGTGTATAATAATAATGTTTTTCGACAATTGAACATTTTGCGAAACATAAATAAAATACATAAAACAGTTTTCAAAATCTTTAAAATTATTTTTAAATTTAATTAATTTTGAAACTTCAAAAGCCGAGGGAATGCATATTTTATTTATAATAGTTTTAGTTTTTCTATACTTTCGTTATTTTAATAATTGTAATAGAACACTGTTTTTACTAAATCAAAAATAAAAATTGAATATTTTATGAGTGTTTGGTATTATTCCGAACACGTTCTACCAGATACGTTCGTTTTAAAATATTTCGAAAACGTTCAATTTCTATCCTCTTGAGATACTAACTTTTGGCCATTAGTTGTTACTATTGAAAATAATACGGATGGACGACTGCAAGCTTTGCGATACCTGTGTTATATACGTATTTTATTTACTAAAATTATTATTTTACTCTGAATCTTAGATGGTTTTATTTTTACTTTCAAACAACTATGATCATGGCTTTTATAACAAAATTTTGTCGGTATATTATCATGTATTATCAATTAATGATTAATCGTATGTTGATTTCCTCATTCCAGGAAAAAAATACAGTACATTAACGCATCAATAATAACATACTGCACAAGTAAATTTGTTTAAATCGTGGGACTGTTTGGGACATGCTTATTTTTGTTCTTTTGCCACCGATTCGTGGCCGACGATAGACATTTTTACTAAAACAGATCTATTGTTGGTTATCAATAACTTTTGTCGGTCTGGTCGTCTGCTGCTACTAATATATATACATACGTTCGCCCGTGATCGTAGTGTTGACGTCGAAAAGGTATACGCACACACACATACACACACATATATATATATACAGACCGGATTTCCGTCCTGATATTATGACGTTCGACCGAGCGATCGTTAATCATGCTGATTAATAAATTGGCGCCTCCCGTAATTGACAGGTTATGGATAGGTTATAGCAAGGGTTCTTTTCCCTACGAAGGTGGGCGAAATATTATGGTCGTTAAATAAATACTTTTTTTACGTCGTCGTATATGTCCCTAGCGGTTGTCGCAGCGGTCGACCGTCGGGTATTTTTCAGTTCGTATAAGTAAAATAATAGGTATCTAATAATAGAAATATATATATAAATACGCTTTCAACAATAGCGCATACATACCACCTATCTTACTTGAAACAAACGAATAGAGAGATGGGAAAACATTGTTAGGTACTGAAATTTTGTATTACATACACTCACACACACACATATATATATACATATTTATGTTTTCTATAACTTAACCGAAAATTATTCGAAATCGTAGAATCGTTAATATTGCGATTGGGTTATATTTCGTAAAATAATGAGAAAGAAAAGACAAAAAAAAAAAAAAATCGTGAATAATTCATCGTGATCGCGTTTGAAATTTTAACAAATTTTCCGTAGAGTAGCACTAAAGAAGGTATGCGAGTATAGAAGTGTTATATGCATTTTGTTGAATAATAAGAAATTGTTGTGTAATACAATATTTTTTACTTGCTCACAAAATATAATGATCATGTACCTTCTTTGTTTTACTATACGATCTAATATTTCTTTGGATTAATTTGTTCTTATACATGTTCGTTTGAGGTTTTAAACTTTCAACTTTAAGATTTTTTGACTTTCAATGAAAGTTAAAGTAACACTTCATAATTTTCAAATGATTTTAATAAATTAAGTTTAAATTAGAACATAAAGGTAAAAAATCAAAAATCGTAACTAGTTCATCTTAAGATAATACATTTCAAACGTGTTCATAGCACATGTCTTGCAGCTTTATAAATCAAAAAAATCATCTTTACTTTAAATCCTTACAGTTTGGCTAGTTTAATCATATTGAATGTTTCATTCGTTTCTAAAACATGTCATTGGCTCTATTATATTGTTATCTTTGGTACATGTTCATATCAACTATTTTTAATTTTGATCGTCTGGCAATCATCGATAAGGTATACATAGATTAGTACAAATATCTTTAGCTCTTGTTTTTAATTCCATATATTTTTCTTCTCTTTTCTATTCTAATTTATTTCTTTCGTTGCTGTTTCTGGGTGGCATATTGATACTTTTTACTCAATGTTTTTCTTTCCGTCTTTTGTTTTTTCTTTTATTATGTGAGTAATTAATTTCACGTTTTATTTATTTTCCATTCATCTTTCCTGTGAAAGTTCTCTGGGTTATTTTTTATTTAAATGGCTTCTTTGTCATTCGCTTTTGATAATTTATTTCTTTATTTAATATTTTAAATCAGTTAAATATTTTTGATTATATTGTTATTTATATACAGGTTATTATTTATCGAGATATTGTTAATTAATATTTGTTTAGCACATTTAGTTACTATTAATTTTGCTACTAGTTAGTTTATAATATAGATATTATTTATCGCATTTTTTAATTTACATTAATTAATTCTGTTGTTTGTTCAATAAACGATCTGTCATATAAACATAGGATGTTAAACAATTTTAGATTATAAATTTCTAGTATATTTTCAACTGGTCTTACTGGTATAATGTTTTTAATTTTCATGTTTGTGAAATAAATTTTTTTTAAATCAAATTTTTTATAATTCTGGACATTTTTTTTGTTGTTTGTTAAATATTTCTTGAAAATATTATTTCATCATAATTATCTACATCTTTATTCAATAAAATCTACCAAGTTTCCTTCTTTATTATTATTTTCAGTTATTTTAATGGCTTTATTAATGGTGTTCAATGCATAACCATTATTTTTTAGGGTTTCTCTTGGAATATATTTTGTCTTCTTTAATGTGCGATTAATTACTATCCTTATAACTATCCTCTCTGCTTTTATGACTATAGTGTAAAGAAGTCTTATTTATTGTATATAATTATAAATCAGTATATTAAAATATACCTATGCAGTACAAGTTGTATTTCAGTCAACCTTCTTTACATAAATTTCAACGTAATTTTTTTTTTACAAGGTTATCTAGTAAATTAAGATTTTGTTCCATCTCTATTGTGATGTATATTTTTTTTATGTATACTATTTATTTTTTGTAAGATTTTTTCTAGTTTCTGTTTTTTTAACGGATAAAATAAAAACGTAAGAAAGTCTTTGGTGAATTAATATTATTGAAATCCTTGCAGAAGTGTATAAAAATAAAGAAATTATTCTACTATACATATGTAAATTTGTACTTCCTTGTCTTGTAATATTTGTTAGTATAAACTGAAAATACGTACAATAAAAACACAATATCAAAAAAAAAAAAAAAATAAAAAAAAATAAAGTAAATACATTGAATTATATTTATTGGTTTACAATTGAAACGGATTAATAATCGACATATTATTATATTCAAATGTTGTGTTCAAAATTGGTGTAATTGATATACGATACGCTTAAAAACAAAATTAAAATATTGATCAATGGTATATTTTCATTCAAAAACCATATACGAGTATAAAATAGTGCGTTTTAAATAATTTTAACGTGACTTTTATCGCATTCCATATACGATTTTAAACGGAGTTTAATCTAAATATAATGTTGTTTAAGTGTAAATGCATAAATATTTTATATTCGTGTAATCGGTTATTATACAATATTATAAAAATAGTTTTAATGTAAAAAATACTTTATTTAGGACGACTGAGATACATCTTCAATCGAATCGATATTAAACGTGCGTTGACTTTTTTTAAAT